TAATTCTGTCAAATGTTTTTCTCCTATAAACACCCAAATTATGTCAGTAACTGCTCTAAAACTTAAGACTAAGACAAACAGACTTTGTGATGGATAAAGGACAGTCTATCTCCATCACGCTGATTAAAATTGTAATTCACAGACTAAATTCTGCTCATTTTTGCATCCTTTTTGAGTTCATTTTGTGAATTAAAGAACGCCTTTGCAGCTCTCAGTTTTGTACTTAAACTCTCTGATGTTTTAAAATGTCAGCTTTTAACCTGTTGCTTCCAGGCAGATGTTAAAACCTGCTGCTGTTTTGTGTTTCCAGGTTCCTCAGAGGACGACCTCCATCTCTCCGGCGTTGGTCAGGAAGAACTCTCCTGGAAACGGGCCAGGCCTCGGCCCGCGGGCCGGCGCTCACCTCATACGGGCCAGGTATGCGCAGCGCCGATGTCGACCGGTGGAAATGTGGGTGTGGGTATTTGTTCACAGTCGTGTCTGAGGCAACGCTGTGTTTGTGTTACTGTAGCAACCCTGACCTGCGGAGGCCCGACATGTACTTGGACACTCCCCTGAAGAGAACAAGCAGCGGCAGCTCCTCCAGCTCCAGCACCCCCAGCTCTCAGGGAGGCTCCAACGAGCGAGGTGAGTCCGCGCAGTCACCTGTGAACTCACAAAAACCTGACCTGAACCCACGAAACCCAGTCTGAGCGCTCAAGCAGGCCTTTGAAGGTCTCTCAGTTTAAAGGTACTTTTTGTAATTACCCTCTGAAACGTTTTTGCTTAAACTCTCACCACCAGGGGGCAGCGTTTTACCAGGTGTTGAGATGTTTTTAGATATTTTGATGTCTCATTTTCGTTAATATTTCATGCTTGTTGAACTTGTTTCCTTAACAAGTTTAAATTTTTTCCGTCAGTACTCGACATCGCTCAACGCGACTCAAGGTGGTACAACTCGCCTCATTTTCTCAGTGTGCGTGGTCCTGGTTATAGTAACGTGTCCGAACGCTAAAACAATGATAAACCTGCTGCTCGGTCTGAAGCTTTTAGTCACACTCAAGGATCACGGCGTTGGTTTTTGTGGCCTTTTCACTCATTGACATTTCAGAAATGTTTTGATTTCGTGAGCGAGACGCTCTCATGACTCATCGAGTGACGCCACTGACCAGCAATCGGTGGCTTGCAGTCTTTTGACGTCACATTTTTGCCTTGGACCACTTGGAACCTCGACAGAGTAGGTACTAAAAAGTATCTGGTAACAGGTACTTTAGGTACTAAAAGGGAATAAAAATGTGTTCGTAATGGCCAACCTGATTAAATAAAGGTCAGGCTGACTTGCTGCACCACCTTGTGGTACAAATTGGTATTGCGTTAAAGTCTAACCTCACCTTATATTTCCCTATGCACAGACGTTTTGGACGTAAAGTCATAGCAGTTGATTTTTTTACGCTCAGTTGATAATTTTGGATTTGTGGACCAAACCCACTGATGAAATGCTGCCCCCTAGTGGAGATATTTGTAAAGGGTAATTACAAAAAGTGCCTTTAAATTGCTTCTTAGAGTTTTGTCTTCCCCAATTTTTGCAAGCTCTGCTGTTTTATGAAAAACATCCTGTTGTGTTTGGGTTTTAGGTAATTCAGCGTCTAAGACTGAAGGCCACGACGCCAAAGACGACAACAGAGAGATAACCCGACCCAGCCGGCCTGCAGTGAGTACACACTGTGTATAACACACCCACACAAACACACACACACTCCTGCAGCTCTCCTGTGTGTGGCAGTGCCACAAACCCCCGTAAGATTAAGAATACTCATTAAATAAACATGCGGTGAAACATGACTGACTCTTCTGTCTGAACTAACCTCTTCCTGTCCTCCATCCCTCCTCCATCGTCCGTCAGAGCTATAAGAAAGCTGTAGACGAGGTTAGTGATGTTTCTCCTCCTTCATCGCTCTGTCTCACGCGTCACCCTCTCTCTCATCACCTCACCACATTAATTATTAACCTCCCGATGTTACCTTGTGCGATTCTTTCAGAATAAAATCATGCTCGGCTTGTGATATTTTTTTCCGCTCACATTAACACAGGCTTCGGCCCAGATAATGATGAGAGCTGGAAAAGCTGAAAAGCCGTAAATGCTCCTCGCTGAGAAGCCCTCCAGCAAAGTCTTTGATTTTTAGTTTCTTGCTGTGAATTTTCACTTTGAATGAATAAAAAACACAGTTTGAAAAAGTGTCTCCAAATGCTTTGAAGTTTCTTAGAATAGACTTTAATTTTCACCAACTTTCCACTTGTTCTCATGT